AGTCGGTTAAGCGTCCGACTTCAGCCAGGTCACGATCTCGCGGTCCGGGAGTTCGAGCCCCGCGTCGGGCTCTGGGCTGATGGCTCAGAGCCTGGAGCCTGTTTCCGATTCTGTGTCTCCCTCTCTCTCTGCCCCTCCCCCGTTCATGCTCTGTCTCTCTCTGTCCCCAAAATAAATAAACATTGGAAAAAAAAATTTAAAAAAAAAAAATTTTTTTTTAATTAAAAAAAATAAACAGTTCAGTGAGTTGGCTTCTCAAAAAGCCATTCACAGCCCCCTTTTCCCGGCATTCACTTATCCAGCCTCCCTCGCAACTGACAGTAGCCAGGTGACCCAAGGAGACAAAAGCAGGAATCAGTGTTGGGGGCGAGAGTGTGGGAGGCTCCAGGCAGGTTGTTTTAAGGAGACAGTCAGTTGGCCTGGGCCTTTGTCCTTCCCCCTTTCCTCGTCAGTTCCACAGCCATGAGGCTGGGGGTGAGGCAGCCATCTTGTGACCATGAGGGGCACAAAGATGCACAGAACCTTCCTGTTGGGACAGCCTTCCTCAGACTTCTCGCTCATCAGTCCATCTCTACCTGCACGAAACACAGCTAGTCTGGCTTTCTGTTGTTTTACTGACCTAAATAGAGTCAGCAGACCTGGGGTAGGGGGCGGATCTGAGAGATGAGAAATTGACAGCTGCGACAAGGAGAGGAGTTCCATTTTGTACATGTTGCGTTTGAGGTTTCTGGGGGTCAGTCAGCTAGAGGCGGGCTTGAGGGCAAGCCAGGGCTGGGGGTCTCAGCACAAGCAGAAGATTGCTAGAGAGACGGCCGAGGCTGGGAGCCCGGAACACCAACTCCCAAAGGCAGGTGGAGAAAGGGAGGGAGATAAGGAGGCAGGGAGCGTGTCCCCAAGTAGTAGAATCCTATGGGCCACCGATGAGAATTTCAGCAAGGAAGGAGCAGGTGCAGCCAATGTCAGAGGGGACCAAGAAGTGAGAAGGCACAGGACACAGAAATCACAGGGCCCTGGTCAAGCCTGCATTCCAACTCATAACGAAGCCCAGACAGCACCCTTGGAGGGCACAAAGTTTGAGCTGGACCGCCACTTCCCAAGAGTGACTGTATCACTTTCCTCAGCTGGGTCTCTGGACAAGTTCTGGCACATTCTTTCTTCTCCAGGCTTCTCCGGATACTTTCTCCTAACAGATTCTTTGGGGGCTTGAAAACCCCCTAAGTTATATCCTTATACCTACAGTTAATAATACCGTATCACACACTTAAAAGCTGCCAAGAGAGAAGATGTTAAAAAAGTTCTCATCATAAGAAAGAAAGTTTGTAACTGTATGTGATGGGGGCTGTTAACTAAATTTGTGAAGATCATTTTGCAATAGATAGAATCATCTTATACACCTGAAACTAATATATCAATTATATACCTCAATTATGAAAAAAACTCTTTTTCTTCCCCTTCAGTTTTATTGAGATATAACAGATTTATAACGCTGTTAGTTTCAGGCAGACAACATAATGATTTGATACTTGTAAGTATTATGAAATGATCACATAGTAAGTTCACATCCACCACCTCACAGGCTTTAAACAAAACTGTTTCTTTTAAAAAAAATTTTTTTTCAACGTTTATTTATTTTTGGGACAGAGAGAGACAGAGCATGAACGGGGGAGGGGCAGAGAGAGAGGGAGACACAGAATCGGAAACAGGCTCCAGGCTCTGAGCCGTCAGCCCAGAGCCCGACGCGGGGCTCGAACTCACGGACCGCGAGATCGTGACCTGGCTGAAGTCGGACGCTTAACCGACTGCGCCACCCAGGCGCCTCTAAACAAAACTGTTTCTTATGACGAGAACTTTTTTAAGATTTTCTCTCTCAGCAACTTTCAAATATAGAGTACGGTATTGTTCATTACAGTCACCGTGCAGTACATTACAGCCCCAGGATTTATTTATGTTACAACAGGAAGTTTGTACCTTTAGACCACCTGTCCCCTCACCCCCTTCTCCCCGTCTCTGACGCCCACCAATCTGTCTCTATAAGCTTGGTTTTGTTCTGTTTTGGGAATTCCTTATAGAAGGGAGATCCTATAGCATCTGTCTTCCTCGGACTTATTTCACTTAGCGTAACACCCTCCATCTTGTCGCAAGTGGCAGGATTCTCTTCCTTTTTACGACCGAGAGATATTCCGTTGCATGCATGTGCCACACCTTTATCCCCTCATCCGTCCGTGGGCACGGGTGTTTCCATGTCTTGGCAAAAACCCCTACGTTGTTTTAACTCGTGAACTTCCTGGTGAGCACTGGGGCCACCGACACAGAACCGGGCCACGTACCCGATTTCCAAGGTCTCTCCCCGAATCAGCCGTAACTTCCGGAAAAAGGAAAGTGACACGAGAGCATAGGATCTCCGGATCTTCAGATACCCGGAAATTTCTTCAATGAGTCCGAGGTTGGCCTCCAGCTCAGCTGCCAGGTTGTCTAAGGAAAGGAGAGAATATCCAGTGAGTTTCGACAGAAATATGTTTACCTTCTCATAATTTCCCATAGTGAGGAGTCAACCTACAGGCTGCAAACGACTCCAACATAACCTGCTCAAAATGCATCATCCTTAGAATATGATCCGCAGCCTTTAACTTCAGGGTCTGCAAGTCCCTCTCTAAGTGACCAGTGCTTTTATTGTTTCTCATCTTTTACCTTCTTTGCCCTCCTCCAGACACATAGGCCTCCCCACAAACTAGGCACATTCCTGCCTCAGGACCTTTGCACTGGCTCCCTCCTTTGCCCAGGATATTATTCCCTGCTTGGTTTGCTTCATGCCCAACTCAAAGTATATGCCTCCCGACACCAGAAACTCTTCAAAAAGAACAAACCCCTTTATTCTCTATTTCAGGGGCTGGCAAATGACAGCCCAGGGACCAAATTCAGTCTGTTTTGTAATTAAAGTTCAGTTGGAAAAGAGCCACGCCCCTTTGTCCGCACGTTCTCTGTGGCCTTTTTCAAGTCCACAACAGCAGAGCTGAGTAGTTATGACAGCGACCATCTGGCCTGCAAACCTGAATATATTTATTATAGGGCCCTTTGTAAGAAAAAGTCGCCAATCTCCGCTCCCTTCGTTACCCTGCTTTACTTCCCTTCATAGCAGGGTCCACCCCAAGTGTACATTATGTGTGGATGTGTTTATTTGTAAGATCCATCATGCATGGGTTTTGCTTTGTTCACTGTCAGTATTCAATAAATGTTTCCTGAATAAATAAACAAGGGGGTGCCTTTTTGCCTGTGACAGTATTCCTGAACACAAGGTCCCCAGACTTGCAACAGGGACCGGTTCCTACTCGCTAAAAACGCAGATTCCTGCCTAAGAATGCAAATTTCCAACTCGGAAAATGAGAATCGAAGGGTGGGTGGGGCCAGGGCTGAGCTGTGAATTTCAGGTCTGGAAGCCAACTTCTCGGGGTGGCTCCACTGATGACTGTCTGGGAAGGTGGGTCCCCGCCGGCTGCCGCCCCCACCCCCAGAGCACTCACTGCCCCCTCGAATGTTGATGATTAGGCTTCCGTTGACGACGGTGCAGCCTCGGAGCTCCTGGGCAGATGTCACCGAGTCGATGGTCTTCTCGCCTTCCAGGATGTGGCAGACCTTGGGACAGGGGCCCAGGCAGGGAGTACACATCAGGCTGAAGAAAGAGCGGAGAGAGGGGGCTCAGGACACACAGGACCCCACAAGCGTCGCAGACACCACACTGCACAGGGTCCCAAGTGACTGGACCTATGCTGTCACCCTAAGGCAGGGGGCTTCAACCACAGCACGGCTGACATTTGGGGCTGGGGAATTCTCCGTTGTGCGGGTGGCCCACACCTGGAGGGTGTTAAGCGACATCCCTGGCCCCCAGCAGCACCTGCCCCTCAGCATGACAGCCAAAAATGTCTCCAGACACAGTCCCCTGTGGGGACAGTAAGAATCACAGTCTAACGTGCGGTACATGTCAGTGCTTCATGGTGGTAGGTCCTACGGCACTGCCCTGAAGTCAGGAGACTCACACTTTTACCCCAAAACGATGGGGCCCCTGCCATACCCCAAATCAGTGGGGATCCACACCGCACCCCATGGAGGATCACGTTCTACCCCGCAGAGACAGGACTCCCTGTCTCCCATCACACTGACGGGGGGGGACTTGGGTGTTACCATGGTGATGGGAATTATTCCGAGGTGATGGGAATTATTCCGAGCTGATGGGCCCGTGGGAGGAGGACCCCTCCTGCCGCCCCCAAGAAGAAGGGGTGCTTCCTGTTGTGTGGGTTTGACGAGCCCACATCTAGAACACAACCTCACACGGGATCGTGTGTGATGGGGGCAGCCTTTGCCTCCGTTGCCTGTAGCCCAGGTCATCGAATAGAATACACAGCCCCTGGGAGTCCTTTGGGAACCAGCCCTCCCCTGCGCCCCACCCCTGCAGGGTCTGAGGTCGGTCTAGGCTGGCACAGCCCCCTTAGGTCCAGGCAAGATCCAGGCCGGGCACTACCTTCTATCCCCCAGGGGGTTTTACTGGAACCTCCCAGAAGGAGAAGCTGTCTAAAGTGCTTGGCACATGGAAAACAAGAACCATGCGTCTTTGCTCTGATGGCGACTTTTTATTAGCATCGGTGTTGCCATTGTTCGTAGTCACACACCGGGGCACATTCGTTCTTCGGAGAGACCTCTGTGATGATAGTGCCACAAAGAACACATCCGGTCCGGTCCGGTCCCAGTCCTGGCTTCAGGCGCCCTTGGAATGTCCTGAGAGGTGGGGGCATCTTTGTTATGCTAATGAGGTGGTCCCAAGGTGGCTTTAGGAAGGGGGCTGGTCACCAAAAAGACCAAGGACGGGGTTAGATGTGTGGGTCATTCAGCCACTGAAGATGGGGGTTCAATCACATGGACGGACAGACAAAGATTCAACTGATCGCAGCTGTATGATGAGACCCACCCCCCCCCCCCCCCCGCAGGAAAAATTCTGGACAGCAGCTCAGTGACGTTTCCTGGACAGCAAACGCTGGGAGGGCCGCGTCCCCGATTCCACAGGGCAGAGCTGGGACCGTCCTTGACAACGTGTGCATCTTTAGTAATAACACTGTCCTTGTAAGTGTGAGTAGCGTAAGTGCCTGGCGGTAAGCTTTGACCGTCAAGGCATCCATTTCAAAAGTCATCCCTCTGCCCACGTTCCAAACAACACAGCCAGATAAGGAACTCGGATGCCCCCACTCATGAAGCTCCCTCTGTCAGAAAGCCCTGGGCGACCTAGATAACTGACCTCTCGAGTGACCCCACTTTTCCCTTCCTGCCCTAATTCCTCTTCGTAAGCTTTAAATATACCAACGAGTGAACCCGCAAACCCCCTGGCCGGGACCCCAGGAACGGCGGAGCCCCAGTCCACACTCTCTATCCGTGATCTCACTGTGTGGCCCGCAAGGGTGCCATGTAACCTCCAGGACTTGTGAGTCATCACCCTTGTTCCTCAAAGTTCTCAGATAGTCCTGGGGTGCCTGAGGAGCTCAGTGGGTTGAGCGTCCGACTTCGGCTCAGGTCGTGATCTCGCGGTTCGTGGGTTGGAGCCCGGCGCTGGGCTCTGTGCTGATGGCTCAGAGCCTGGAGCCTGCTTCGGATTCTGTGTCTCCCTCTCTCTGCTCCTCCCCTGCTTGCACACTCTTTCTCTCTCTCTCAAAAATAAATAAACATTAAAAAAAAAAAAGTTCTCAGAGAGTCTTTGCTGAAGTGTGTCCTGTGATCATAATAAGAACCACAAGGGCCGGCCCAGGCCTGGTGGGGACGCGTCTAGAGCTCACCACAGCCTGGGTGAGCCCTGCAGGCATTCCTAACCAAGGGCACTACCCTCGACAGGCTCAGGACTGACAGAACAGTATGGCTTTTTTTTTTTTTTTTTTTTTTTTTTAAATACTGTGACTTGTTGCAGCAGATTATTGAACCTGAATTAGGCTACGTGAGAACCCCCAAGTTCATAGCCAGCCGATCAGAACTATGGGTGGCCTGGGTACCCCAAAAGTGTGGCTGATATCTGGAGCGAGGGCAGTCTCGTGGAGGACGGGGCCCAATGTTCACGCCAGGTGCTCAGTGTCAGAATTGTATCACAGACTCCCAGGTGATATCAGAACAGCTGGGGCATAAATGGAATAGTGACCAAATGTTTGGGCTCTTTTGTTGATTCTGCAAATATTCACAGAGCACCTATTATGTGACAGGTGATACTCTAAGCCAGAGGGCGGCAAACTGCGGCCCGCGGGCCAAATCCAGCAGGCCACCTGTCATGGTAAATAGCATTATGTTGGAGCACAGCCTCACCCAGGGGTCTGTGCATCATCTAAGGCCGTTCTCACGCTATAGGGGCTGAGTTGTGTAGCTGCGAAGAGACCATATGGCCCTCAGAACTGAAAATATTTACTATCTGGCCCCTTGCCAACGCCTGTTCTAAGCTGCAGACGCACAGGAGTGAACAAAACAGATGATCTACTTTGCCTGTGGGAGATTACAAGTGGCCACAGGTTGTTTGCCCGTCCCACCAAGAAACGGTGTCGATTTCCCCATTCACTGAATCTGGGCTTGGCCCTGTGACCTGCTTTGGCCAATGGGACAGGAACAGATGTAATGCAAGCAGAGGCTTGAAAAGTACTTGTACATTGGGGCCAGGCCCTTCTTGGCTACTTGGCTGAGAAACCACGTGGAGAGAGAGGCCCTGACTGCCCATCTAAGGTATGAGAGGCTATCGGATACCATCCGTCATGGCTGGCTCAGCCCAGGCCAGACAATCCACCAGTCAACCCACAAAAATCACTAAAAAACAGAAATGAGTGCTGTTTTACATCACTAAGTGCTAGCCAGTTTGTTACACGGCAGGAGCCAACCGATACACTTGTGAAACATTATAGTCAGGTGGGGTAAAATGAACATATTGGCAATTAAAACATCAATTAGTGGCAAATGCCGTGAAAAGAGTGACAGTTGTGTGATGTGCCCAGGAGTAGTCAGATGCTAATTCAGACAGGGCCGTCAAGTAGGGGAGGGTTCTCAGAGGAAGTGACTTTTAGGCTGGGACCTGGACGAGGAGAAGTGAGCCATGCAAAGATCAAGGGGCAGAGTATTCTAGGGGGAGGGAACAGGGATGCCCCACACCCACTGCACTCTTAATATTCATCCCAAATATTCACTCTCCTCATCCCAGGAAAGAGCACCCAGGTGCTCGCACCATGGACTTCAAAGTGACCATAGATAGTGACGCTTTTTAAGGAATCATGTAGGTTCCCAGACCTCAGTTCTGAAAATACCAAAAACCATTTCCCAGATAAACCACAAAAATGGAAGAATCTATATCTGGCCTTATTTGATATCAAACCACATTAGAAATAAAAGCACTAGGGGCACCTGGGTGGCTCAGTCAGCTGAGCGTCCGACTTCGGCTCAGGCAGTGATCTCGCGGTTCGTGAGTTCGAGCCCCGCGTCGGGCTCCGTGCTGACAGTTCAGAGCCTGGAGACTGATTCTGTGTCTCCCCCTCTCTCTGCCCCTCCCCTGCTCACACTCTGTCTCTCTCTCAAAAAATAAAGATGAAAGAAAGAAAGAGAGAGAGAGAGAGAGAGAAAAGAAAAGAAAAGAAAAGAAAAGAAAAGAAAAGAAAAGAAAGAGAAAGAGAAAGAAAGAAAGAGCTAAAGTCTTTCATAAAATAAAAACTTCAGGGGCGCCTGGGTGGCTCAGTCAGCTGAGCGTCTGACTTTGGCTCAGGTCATGATCTCGCAGTCTGTGAGTTCGAGCCCCGCATCGGGCTCTGTGCTGACAGCTCAGGGCCTGGGACCTGCTTCAGATTCTGTGTCTCCCCCTCTCTCTGCCCCTCCCATGCTCATGCACTGTCTATCTCTCAATAATAAATAAACGTTAAAAATAATAATAATAAAAACTTCAGACGGAAAGCTATTGATTTTTTTTTTTTGAAGCCAACGAAGTAAAATATTGCTATGACAAGTCACAATTGGCATTGTCCCCTCTGCCCTCTTCCCCTCGGTAAAGGACCCAGACATCACAGGGCAGGCTGCCGGTTCCTTGGGGCTTTGGTTCTAGGGGGGGCCACTGGGCCATCAGCAAGCACAACAAAGAAGTCTCGTCTATGTCTCAGGTCTCAGTTACGGTCAGGGAAAAAAAAAAAAACAAAAGACCTTTTATTTAAAGCCAATGTCTCTGAAACAAACATCTCACCGGAAGATGTTAATATCCATGCTGTATTTCAAACATGGGAAAAACACACAAAACAGAAATGAATTAAAAGGACTATGGTCATTTTCCCAACCTGACTGATAAACTGGCCAGGAAAAAAAAAAAAAAAAAACAACCCTGTCTGGTGTGCAAAGTTGATTTATAGAAGCCTATTTTTGGTCAACAAAGCCACTTGATAGGTTCTATCAAAAACAAGTAAAACAAAACATTTTGTACTTGCAGGTTTCACAAACACTCAAAGAGAGGCTCATAAGAACTGAAATAAAGAGTGTTTTCCTTCCCACCCACTCCACCCGGGGAAATAAAATTTCCCACCAGAACACGCTTGCTTGGCTAATTCTCAAGCCTGAAGAGGAAGATTTTTTACGTAAGCAGATCAGCTCAAGGTCCCTGGACGTGCGTCTGTTTCTGATTTGTTTTTTTGTTGTTTTGCGGGGGGCGGCGGGGGGGGGGGTTCCCAACCTCAACACAAAAACCAGGAAACAGATTTTTTAAACTTGGTTATGGCCCTGAGACACTGAAATAGCTCATCTAAAAATCTAACATCATGAACAAAAAGTCTGCAATGTGTATAGGAAATCTGACTCACCTCCGAAAAGAGAAAACCCTATTTCTCACCCAAACAGTAGGAAATGGTTTCATGGCACTGTCCTTCAAAACGTAACAAAGCCCTGGGAACAGTCTAGAACAGAGTCTCTCTCCTCCTTGTGCTCCAGGCTAATCTCAGCATGCCGTCTGGCTCCAGTTGGGGAAAACATAAAAACCTCAGCTCTGTTCTTGGTTGTAACATCTGGGCGGCTACATCATTTGAGACAGTCCTGTCTGTGGGAAGGATTCTAGGGGAAACCAAGGACCTCTGTCTTTATGTCTTCTATTACCAAAGCTAAGCCCAGAAAACCGTTAACAGGGTGGGTAAGAGGGGGTGCCTGGGTGGCTCAGTCAGTTAAGTGTTTGACTCTTCGTTTCAGCTCAGGTCATGATCTCATGGTTCGTGAGTTCCAGTCCCACATCAGGCTCTGCACTGACAGTTCGGATCCTGCTTGGGACTCTCTCTCTCCCTCGCTCTCTGCCCCCGCCCCCCACTCATACTCTGTCTCTCTCTCTCTCTCTCTCTCAAAATGAATAAACTTAAAAAAAAATTTAATGTTCATTTATTTTTGAGAGAGAGAGAGACAGAACCTGAGCAGGGGAGGGGCAGAGAGAGAGGGAGACACAGAATCCAAAGCAGGCTCCAGGCTCTGAGCTGTCAGCACAGAGCCCAACGCAGGGCTCGAACCCACAAACCGTGAGATCATGACCTGAGCCAAAGTCGGACCCTTAACTGACTGATCCACCCAGACACCCCAACTTAAAAAACATTTTTTTTAATTTAAAATTAAAATAAAATTAAAATTAGAAAAAAATTTTAATGGTGGGTAAGACACTGAAAAACGTTTGCTCTCCAGTCCTTTCCAGAAGGATTGTCGATTCCTGTTCCAAAGGCCAGGACCAAAAACAGGAGGCAGAACTGGCATAGATCCAAGCATGTGTGTGTGTGTGTGTGTGTATATGTGTGTGTGTGTGTGTGTGTGTGTGTGTGTGTGTGTGTGTGTGTGTGTATGTGAACCAGTCACCAGCTGCCCCCTCACTCATACCCCGTGAACTCGTGTTTCTCACACAGTGCTAACCGCACGTGGCCTCCCCTCTTCGCCGCCCCCTCCCCGGAACCCGTGCCCAGGACTCACTTGCTGGAATTCATCGTGTACCCCGAGGGGCACTCAGGGATGCACCTGTTGTTGTGAATGACATACTGGTGGCAACCCTGTCTCCGGGAGTTCTTGCATTTATTGTGCAGGTCCCAGCAGAAGCTGAAGTTCACGCAGCGCCAGTCTTGGAAGTGGTAGTAGGGGGGCGGGCAGGTCTCCACGCACCTGCCGTCCAGGTAGAAGTTGCGACAGGCCACGCACTTGGTGGGGTCGTCGGGCTCGGAGCAGTTGCCCAAACACTCGCTGTGGCAGCAGAGGCCGTCGGCCGTGCAGCCGTGCGACTTGCAGATGGTCGGACAAACTGGAGGGAGAGGAAAAACAGCTGGTCAACAGCTTCGCCCGGGTGCCGTGTGTACAGACAGAGAGTCTGGAGGAGGGAGGGGGAAGCCAAACAAAATAACAACAGCGAGAGTCTCAGGTCTACCGTGCTTGCTCGACACCAGTCCCCCAAACCTGCGGAGTGCTCGTAAACACTTAAGACCGCTCCAGGGAGGAAGGCAGAGAGGTTCCCAGCTGCAGCCTCTGCAAATTTCCACGGTGTAAACACCCCCGCCTTGCTCCATTTTAAGGTACGAGAGATACTGTTGCACATGGAACCAGTAAGAGACAGTACTAACTATCAGGGTGCCTGGGTGGCTCAGTCGGTCAAGCATCCGACTCCTGATCTCAGCTCGGGTTACGATCTCACAGGTTTGTGAGTTCCAGCCCCGCGTCGGGCTCCGCGCCGTCAGTGCGGAGCCTGCTTGGGATTCTCTCTCTCTGTCCCCTCCCCCTTCGCAGGCGCGCTCTCTCTCTCGGGATAAAGAAACTTAAAAAACAGATACACACTGTAGCAGAGCCTTAAACAGCGTATCCGCCATAGAGCGGTAACAGCAGCAAATAACCTCAAGGGCACAAGGAACAGAAAAATGTAGTGAGACCATAGGAAGTGGTGAGGATCCATTACCTTTGTTTTTAACGTAATTTGTTAAGTCTGCATCATGCACGTTTTGATCACCGCTTCCTCAATAACCAGGGCACACATCTCCTGAAAACGTGATCATCGGGTTCTGGCCAGCCGGCTCCGGCATGCGGCTTTAAAACCGTCATGTAACCAGATATATCGTTGTGTCCATTTTCTCCACGTTACAAACGGGGAAACCAAGGTACGAGAAGGTGAAGCTAACGGGCCAGCGGTCATTTATCGCTTCAACGGCCATCTGACCACCCCGATCTAGATACCGCAGCCAAGGGGCAAGGTGGCCACAGACCCACCTGCCGGAGCGCGAGGTCTAACGGCGGAGGCAGATTAGTTACCCAAACACACAAATGGGTACCTGCAAAGGTAGAAAGTACTGAGCTCCTGGCTGGAGGTAAGGGGAGGGGGACGTTTCGGTTGCAAATGAAGGAGATAATGAACAGGAAGAAAGGGGAAGGCCCTGCAGATGGGGAGGTCAGAGGCTTGCAAAGATTTTGTGGCTGGGGCAGTTTCTTGTCCCACGCAAGTGAACTTGTCCACCAAAGGCTGGACTCTGCCCTGGCTTCCCACAGTGGCTCATCACCTATCCCTTCTCTCCACACGTCTGGCCACACGTCGCTTCCTAATTACCCCTTGATTTCAGTCCCTCCCTTCCCAGGCTGCCGGCAGATCTGTCCGCGGACAGGCGGCTTCCCTGAGGCTGGACAGAGCCCCCCTCCCCCCCCCCCCCGGCACAGCCTGTTCGGCTCACGCACTCCGTGTGGCCTGAGACAAGGTTTGGACCCTGGGGAGTGCTCCTGACCCCCTCCCCCCAGCCCTCAGACTTGTTGTTGCAGCCACTTCACGGCCCCCGCGGGACCCCAACGACCGCCCTGGGAAACAGAAGTGGCCCCGGAAGCCGCGCTCACACAGGGGCAGCACCGTCGGCTGGAACTTCCTACGAGGACAGTAATGTTCTCAGGCTGCACTGCCCAACACAGTAGCTACCTCTTCCCCGTGGCTGTCGTGTGCGGTTAGTGCAATGAGGAACCGATTTTTTTTTAATCGTGGCAAAGTACACATAGCATAAAACTGACCATCTTAACCATTTTTGTCACGTTTGCTTATTTTTGAGAGAGAGAGAGAGAGAGAGACAGAGAGAGTGCACGCAAGCTGGGGAGAGGCAGAGAGGGAGACGTGGAATCCGAAGCAGGCTCCAGGCTCCAGGCTGTCAGCACAGAGCCCGATGCGGGGCTCGAACTCACGAACCGCGAGATCATGACCTGAGCCGAAGTCAGATGCTTAACGGACTGAGCCACCCAGGTGCCCTGACCATCTTAAAACCATTTTTAAGGGCACGGCTCAGAGGCACCAGGTATATTCACACTGTCATGCAACCACTCCTACCACCTGTCTCCGGAACTTTCTCACCTTCCCCAAACTGAGACTCTGTCCCCATGAAACACTGCCTCCCCACCTCCTTCCCCACCCCCAGCTCCCACCATCTACTCTCGATCTCTGTGCACAGGAATCCTGCAAGTGGAATCACAGGACTGGCTTTTTTGTGACTGGCTTCTTCCACTGCACGTACTGTCTTCAAGACTCATCCATGTTGTAGCAACTGCCAGAATTTCCTTCCTTCTTAAGGGTGAAAAGCATTCTGTTGTGTGTATATACCATTTTCTTGATTCCCTCATCCATCAGTCGGCACTGACTGGGGATGTTTCCACCTGTGGGGCATCGTAAATACTGCTGTTAAGATCACAGCTACCCAAACGTCTCTTCAAGACTCAGCCTTCAATTCTCTTATGTATATACCCAGAAGCAGAGTCGCTGAATCACACGGTAATTGTCTGTAATTTCTTGAGGAATCGCCATACTGGTTTCCACGGCAGCTGCACCATTTCACTGTCCCACCAAGAAGGCACAGGGGTTCCAAGTGCCACTGGGGGGCTAAACCTTTCATTGTTCATTCTCGCTCTTAATTTTACCAGCCACAGTAGCCAATGGGTCGTGCACCGGAACGCACAGGCTTCGAGAAGGAAAGTGAACTCCTCACCAAGGCTGAGAGGTCTAGCCTGCACTGGCCTCTCAGAGTCCGTCCCCCGGGGCCCAGACAGCAGCCACTTGAATCTCCTCTCTTCCCCCACCCAACGCTCCCACCCCCTGCTTCATCCACCCGGCCACCCCTGCTCGGTCCTGCCCGAGGACCTTTGCATCTGCTGTCACAACTGGCTGAAGCACCCTGGCTGTGATCCTCCCGTGACTGACTCCCTCCCATCCTCCCCGCCCCAGGACTCTTGAAAGAAAGACCTTCTCCGACCTTCCCGCTGGAAGTCGCTCCCTCCTGCCCAGCCGTGTGCCAGCACCTTATGTGATGACAGTTTTCTTGTAGTATTTCTCGCTCTCAGAAACGGCCCTGGCCGCTTGCTGACTGCGAGTCCAGAGGCAAGGCTAGAGACAGGCCACGTCTCCACCCGCCACACCGGCTGCCACGACACTCACTCCGACCGAGGCTCGCACCTGCAGTTCAGGAGACACATCTGCGACAAGCCAGAGCGGAGGCAAAAGCGACAGCTTCGGAGCACTTCCAAGCACCCAACTTTTAGCCGCTGGCTCAAGAGGGCATCTAAGACCCGTCCCCTCCCGCAGGTGCCCCACAAATGGTGAAAACTGACACGCAAAAATCGGAGCATCGATGCATGGGTGCATATTCGGATTTTTTGTGTCACGGACCCAAAGAGAACTAAGAAGCTCTAATGGGAGCAAAGTGGGGCGATGGGGGAATGTCTGTGTAGGTTTTTTTTAGGGATTGCATATCACCCATTAGAATCTCACTTAATTCTTTTTTTTTTTTTTTTTTTAATTTATTTTTGGGACAGAGAGAGACAGAGCATGAACGGGGGAGGGGCAGAGAGAGAGGGACACACAGAATCGGAAACAGGCTCTGAGCCATCAGCCCAGAGCCTGACGCGGGGCTCGAGCTCACGGACCGCGAGATCGTGACGTGGCTGAAGTCGGACGCTCAACCGACTGAGCCACCCAGGCGCCCCTCACTTAATTCTAATAAAGCAGGGACACAGGGTAAGTGCTATTATCTGCATTTCTTTTTTTTTTTTTATTGTTTTTTTGTTTATTTTGAAAGTGAGAGAGAGAGCAAGCAGGGGAGGGGCAGAGAGAGGGAGAGAGAGAATCCCAGGCAGGCTCCGTGCTATTGGCACAGAGCCCGATGCGGGACTCGAACTCACAAACTGTGAGATCATGCCCTGAGCTGAAACCAAGAGTCAGACGCTTAACTGACTGAGCCACCCAGGTCCCCCCCTCATTATCTCCATTTCACAGAGGCAAGAAGACAGGCCCTTTTGAGAAGCAGCAGGGCCAAAGTTAAACCTTGATCTTTAGGCTCTGAATCTGATATTCCTGGGTCTAAAGAATCACCATGTGGGAATGCAAACTGGTGCAGCCACTCTGGAAAACAATATGGAGGTTCCTCAAAAAGTTAAAAATAGAACTACCCTACAACCCAGCAATTGCACTACTAGGCGTTTATCCAAGGGACACAGGTGTGCTGTTTCGAAGGGACACAGGCACCCCCATGTTTATAGCAGCACTATCCACAATAGCCAAAGTATGGAAAGAGCCCAAATGGCCATCGATGGATGAATGGATAAAGAAGATGTGGTATATATACACAACGGAGCATTACTCGGCAATCAAAAAGAACGAAATCTTGCCATTTGCAGCAACGTGGATGGAACTAGAGGGTATGTGCTAAGCGAGATAAATCAGAGAAAGACAAACATAATTTCACTCGTATGTGGAACTTAAGAAACAAAACAGATGAGGGGCGCCTGGGTGGCTCAGTCGGTTAAGCGTTAAGCGTCCGACTTCGGCTCAGGGCATGATCTCGCGGTCCGTGAGTTCGAGCCCCGCGTCGGGCTCTGTGCTGACAGCTCAGAGCTTGGAGCCTGTTTCGGATTCTGTGTCTCCCTCTCTCTCTGACCTTCCCCCATTCATGCTCTGTCTCTCTCTGTCTCAAAAATGAATAAACGTTAAAAAAAAAAAAAAAAGAAACAAAACAGACGAACGTCAGAGAAGGGGAGCAAAAATAGGATAAAAAGAGAGAGGGAGACAAACCATAAGAGATTCTTACATACAGAGAACAAACTGCGGGTTGCTGGAGGGGGTGTTGGGTGGGGGGGGATGAGGTAACTGGGGGATGGGCATTAAGGAGGGCGTTTGTTCGGATGAGCACTGGGTGTTATATGTAAGTGATGAATCACGAGATTCTCTTCCTGAAATCATTATTACACTATATGTTAACTAACGTGGATTTAAATTAAAAAATAGAAATAAAGAATCAC